CTCTCAGGACAGAAAGAGAGCACAGAGGTACGTGGCAGGTGTACTATCACGTGAGTGACAGAAACAGGCCATCGGAGATTACAGAGTACATGGAGAAGGAAAATAACCACTAACTGCTCCTTGGAGAAATGATAAATGGAAAATGTAGACAGGTGCCTACCAGTAACTCACAATTGCTTCCCAGCTCAGGGGAATGAAGATGGGTTTGGAAAATTTATCTAATCATTTTCTAAACATTTTCAGATCATCTGGTACCAAAAGGTGTTTAGACTTTTCTCAAGAACCAAGAAAATTCTTCCCTTAGAGAATATATAGCATAAGAAATTCTCCAGCTCTTTCAATCAAATAAAATTATCAGTTGGAATAAAACTCTCTTAGTATGTCTTGGGCTATAGTAGAGGGCATCGTATTATATTTATTAATAAGGCACAAATGAATGCTATGAAGTTCCAACAGAAAATTAATTTTTATAAATATACAAAGTAGAGTTGGCAGATTTAGCAAATAAAAATACAAGAGCCCCATGAAATCTGAATTTCAGATAAATAACAAATATTCGTTTGGTATAAGTATGTCCCACGCAATATTTAGGACTGACTTGTGCTAACAAAATTATTCATTGTTTATCTGAAATTCAAATTTAACTGGGCTTAAGTATTTTTCTTGCAACCCTGGCAAAATGCCTCCTCCAGGCAACCCAGAAGCTATCTGGAGATAATCACTAAGTCTATAACAGGACAAGCTTCAAGGAGTTAAGAAGTTATCAGTGAGGAATTTGGATTCACACCTGATAAATAATGTCATTTGATAGTGAATTGAAATAAGGATCCTCTCTGAGAAGGATTTTGTGCCATAAAAATATATTCTTCCTTTGGTAACTAACAAGTGAATCACTTCAAATGCATGTGTCTCTTTGGGATTCAGCTATATCGTATAACCTCTTCTCTCCATCCCCTAAGTGTAGACTTAAGAACTTCCCCCACATGGAAAGAAAGCTGCAGTCTGGACAGGTGTGAATGACAGCTGTACCTCCCGCTACAATGCTTCCAGCAGGGAAAGGGGCCTATGAATGCCACTACCTTTTCAGCTGACAGGAGAAGCCACTTTCCTAACTCTACATCCCTAGTGTCATCCTGGGGCTGGACCACTCCCAGAAATCTCCCAGAGAGCCTTCCTCCCTACTGTGGTTGCTGAGAGGAGAACAGCAGGCTGAAGGAAAAGTCATCCTTATAAAACAACCAGCCATTTGCAGCAATTTTATTTGCAAAGATTTCCTGCTGTGCCTAAATGGTGTGGCTGCTTGGTTTGTTATTTAAAAGAGTGACCCTAGTGAGACCAGAGCTCTGAAGGGGGTGGAGAGTCTGATTCAGACCAGGGTAAGTAGGAGGAGCTTGAACTGAATGTGCGTAATTGAATTCCACTGCTGTTTTTGAGCGTGCTGTGCCTGGTGATAAAACTGCAGACTTGGGGCTAACTCTATAAACCCATTAGTCAACCCCAATCCTTTCTGGGTCCTGCTAGGAAACTATATTAAAATATTCTCAAGACAGCGCAGGGATGGAGAGTCAAAAACCAGAAGATATATTTGGATGGAGAGGAAGGAAAAGAAAGACAATAGAGATAAGGGAAGAATGCAGGTATATGGACAGGGGAGACATCCAAGAGATGTCCAAATGTCCAGATGCAGAACCCAAGTAAAGGCAGGGAACTGGGGCAGTTTGCAGAGGAATTGCTTTAGTGGAGAAGTAGGTAGGTAAATCTGAAGACACTTATTAAGCAGTACATTTGGGAAATCAAGTGAAGCTGGACTCCCTCTCTTTCTCAATCTCTCTGCTCTACACTGGTGCCTGAAGAACTGAGGAATAATAATCCTTGTTCCCTGTAGGACAGCTACACTGGAGAAGATGGATGTGGGCCTCTAGGACTGAGTAGGGCCCCCTTCCTGGGTGGCCACATGGGAGCATCTCAGGCCTCAGAGAGATGGCAACAAAGGTTAAAACCAATTGCGATTTCAGAGATATGTGGTTAGAGAGCAGGCTTCAGAGATGACATTTACACTGTAATGTAACATAAGCCAAGCAGGAAATAATAATATCTGCAGATCATTGTTTACCCAGCAGAAGTTTTAAGTTAAAAGCAAGCATACCTGGGCCATATTTATGAGCTTGAAGGTAACATTCACTTGATTTCTTCGTGTTGTTGGGCAGATGTTTTAGTCTCAGTAGTCCTTCATTGTTAGCTTTGATTTTAATTAGCAAACGTTTGGGAAAATAATCTGAATCAGATTTGAATTTAACACTAAAAGCGGTGGGAGGAAAACCAAAGCTACAGAACTGAATCAACAGTACATTTTTCAAGGGAATCTTTATTATCTTGCAGGAACAGAGCAGAACGGGAAGGCTCCTGCAGAGCAGGTGTGCACTGAGACTTGGAGGGCATCATTCACTTCCCTGTGCCATGCACTGTGCAGGAAATGGGGTCAGAGAAATGAGTGCTATGGGAAGGTCACTACTCTCACAGAGCTCACAGGGAAGGGAGATAATAAAACATGCAATTGCCAGTTTGAAGAGTGGCTTTATCGGAAAAATACAAGATGCAGTGAAGGCATATAATGTAGTGCTGTTAGTCCAAGGCTCAGGGAAGACTTCCCAGCAGAAGTAATGCAAAGACTGAAGCCTGAGGAATCTGAGGAATGAAGAGCATGAGGCAGGTAAAGGAACATCAGCACCTGTGTTTGGTGGGAAGGGGCATGCTGGAGAGTAAGTTTGAGGCAGAGAGAGGAAAGAGCTGAAAGCAAGAGAGAGCATGGTGTTTTCGAAGAACTGAACTAAGTTCAGTGTTGCAGGAAGGTAGTATGCAAGGCAGAGAAGAGCATGAGAGAATTTTGGAAAGACTGGCAGGGCCCATGAGGCTGAAGGCTTTATAAACCATATTCAAGAGAATGGACCTCATTATAGGAGCAATGAAAAGTCCCTGAAAGGTATTAAGGAAGAGAATGACAAAATCACATTTTTAGTTTTGATCACCCTGGCTGCAATATAGATTGAAAATCAGCAGAACTGGGAGGAGAAAGATCATGTAAGAAGCCCTGCAGTAATGCACGTTAGAAAAAATGGACTGGGATGTTGTAGGAGAGATGAAAACAAGAACGGCATTCCAGAGGTATGGGGGGACTAAAATCCAGGGCAAACAGTATGATTGACTATGAGGTGTCAGGGATATGGAACCAAGGGCATCTTGGAAATTTTTATTTTAGGTAACTTTGTAATAGGATATATCATTTACAGGCAGTGCAGATTTGGCTAGGAGAGGATGGGAGACTAGTAGGAGAAGAGTCAGAAGTTCAGCTTTGGATACTGTGAGTTCTAAGTGGCCATGGAATCCAAAGAAACATATCTGGCCACAGCTAAGGATACAAATTTAGAGCTCAAGGGAGAGGTTCCAGCCAGAGATGTCACTTTGGAAAATATACAGACATTAATTGTATCCTTGGGAATGGATGAGAAAGAAAGAGGGTCTAGGACAGAACCCCAAGAAGTGCCCATATTTAAGGGATGCATAAAACAGGAGTGTGCTAAGGAGCCCCAGATGGAACTGGAATAGAACGAAACTAAAGAGGTAGAAGAAAAACCAAGACAATCTGTACCAAGCAAGGTGCAATACCCAGGGATGATGGATAGAGCAACCTCTGGAGAGTTCATGGTGGAAAAATATCAGGATTGAATCACAGATATAACTACTGTGAACCTGGTTTGAGTTTCAACTCTGAATTGAAGCTCTACTCTACAGACTGCAGTCCAGCTCCCTTCTAGAAGTTACCCATGCAACCTCCACTATATGTTTTTCTAACATCCCAAGTATACCTTTTAATATTTTATTTATTAAGCTAGATGGTGAGTACCTGAGTATGCACTAAGTTTTTCTGAATACCTTTCTGTACGTCTTAATACAATTAAAAATAACTTCAAATGGATGTCCAAAACGTTGTTGAATGAAAGAAGTCAAGCTATTGAACAGCAAGTATACTTATATTTCCATATATGTAACATCGTAGATTTATATCCATATAAATGTACACGCACAGAGAGATATCTAGAAAGATGTTCACTAATTATTTCTACAATGATTATCTCCAATTAATTGGATTTAAGGTCATTTTTATTTTTAAAACACACTTCTTTATGTTCTATTTAGTTTGAATTTTTGTAATGCACATACATAGAAGTTTTATACAAATAGTAAAACCACAAAAGTGTAGTATAGAATCTTCTACCCCACATAGTCATTTATTACCCCGCGGAGGAGGCACTGCAGTCATGGCTGGGTTATGCAAGGTGAGGTCTTGCTAAACAAACCAGACTAAGAGCAACCATAAAAGCCGCCTCTACAGCAGCATCCTCACCCTTAAAGGCAGAGGCTGGAAAAGCAAAAGAGACAAAAACCAAGCCTGTTTCTTTAAGGGAAGAATATCCTTCATATGACTACAGATCCGCATAACCTGTTCTTCAATCTTTCTACAATACGGCAACATTCGAAAGGTAAGTGGACTGGTCCTCCTTTATTTGTAAGTCTCCTGCATCTTTCCTGGTGATCAAGTAGTACTTACAGATCAGAGAGGCCTAGGTTCAACTCCAAACTGACCACTCACTGGCAACATGACTTTGCATAATTTATGCCTCCAAGCCTATTCTCTTGTATTGTAAAATAGAAACAATTGTTAAAACCTGACTTATGGAGTTATTTTGAGGATCAAATGAAGCCAAACGTGCAAAACCCTTAGAGTAACATGTAACACATAATAAGTGCTCAATAAGTGAAAGTTGTTTTGGCAAGGTGGGATCCAAAACACTCCCCCAATCATGACCAATTGCCATGTCCAGGGCCAGGCTTCAACCTGCTACCATCTTGAACTATTCTTCCTGCAGTTTCTGAACTTCCAACCTGTCTTTGAAGCTCCCCTCTCATCTCCACCATCAATGCGCCCTCTGTTCCACACTCACCTATTTAGCATATTGGACTGGTAGATTCTCTTCTCATGGGTATTGTAACAACTGCTTTTGGGCTCAGGGATGAAGCTGTGTTCAGACAGCATGTCAGAAGCAGCAGTGGTGATTATGGCAATTCCATCTCTCACTCTGGCGGGGAGGCCGTAGTCCCATTCATCATATGATACAGAGATGAGCCCAGTGGGGAACTCCGCAGGCACTGTGTCTGTATCCCCTGCCACCAGACTGGGCACGATCCACGTGTAGCCGTAGCCAGTCAGCCCTACTGAGTTGGCCACTTCAAAGATGTAGGTGGCTTCTTCCTTGGTACAGTAAAGAAGAATGATGGGGCTTTGAAGTTTCTTGAGCTGATTCTGGATCTTAGAATCTCCATCGTCCAGGGACATGTCCAGTAGGAGGACTTCCTCTAGCTCCCAGCCCACAAAGCTATTCTCAATGGTGCTGCGGATCTTGTTTACAAAGTCCTGGTAGCCAGGGAAATAGGTGGTGACGATAGAAAAGATGTACCAGTCATATTCTTCCATGATGTTGAGCATTACGGAAGCTTGCTGTTCAATTGATGGGCCAAACTGGAAGAACATGGAGGATTCATCCTAGAAAAAGAACAGGACAAGAAAAGGAAGAGAGAAAAAAATCAAACCAAAGATGGTAATGGAGATTTTGAACCAAGTGGGTACAAAGATTTGTGTTCATTACTTATTATTTATATAATACCTTTACAAGTTTGTATTTATAATAAATATTTTAAAATATTTAAATTGCAGACATTTGTAATACCTTTCTTCCAAAAATTGTCTCCTAGACTTTACAGAAAATCAACCTAGGTCTATACTTGCCTTGTCTGAAATCCTTGGGGTTACTGCCAGAGCCTAGGGAAGCTTCCCAAAATCAAATATGTTAATATTTCTATAGCAAAACATATGAAGAATCACACAGTGTAGAATAAAGGCTCTAAACGGCCTCATGTCAGTTCAGGTCAGGTTTTGTTGTCAAATGAGCTATACAAACACAAATACAGATGCTCATACAGACATACACATACATACTTTCCATTTTTCAAGGCTTTTGGATTTCTTCCTTGTGAATGTGTATCACTCAGTCACAGAGTGCATAATCCAAAAATGTCATTGATCTACACATAAACCTATCTACGGAGGTGAGATAAGCTCAGTGGTCCAGAAGGTGAATGGTACTCAGGTACAGACATCAGGGAGAAGTATATGTAGTATGAAATTGGATCAGTATATATTCTATAAACATATAAATGTTAAATTAATATCGCATTTAGTTTTCTCTCTAACTTCTGCTCTGATGATAATATATGCAGAAAAGAATAAGGCTCAAACAGTATGTCTAAGCTGCAAGTTAAAATTATTGCCATTTGAACTCATATCTGATTAAGCTTTACTTCAGACATATAGAAGACATGCTCTTTCTCTGACCTACAGGACACCACAGATCTTGGTCTGACCTGGGCATTGCACACACACCCCACTGTCAATTCTGAGCATCTTCTGATTTCTCCTTCCTTTCCAGGGAGAAGCCATTTTAAATGTCTCCCATTTTAAGCTGTGTTTCACCTGCTGTTGTGAGATGTCAAGCCCTGTATTTTATCTCTACCTTTAGCTAGATGAATCTGAAACCACAAAATGAACACCCTCTCAGTCTTGTCCTCCTCTCTTGACTATTTCCCCTGATTTCCTCCTGGGTAATGGCATCTCTTTCTTTGCTCTGTGCCCCCTATCTTCTATCCCATGGCTCATCTCCATTTTATAGCAATCCAGGCTAACAAAACTGTGTCTTTTTCTAAAGGGCAGTTCCTTCTTATCCCCCAATGAGAGCTTCAAAGTACAGTTACAAGTGACCTGGGCTTTTAAACAAAATTATATAGTGGTTTCTTAGTTCAGGAACATATTGTTGCGCAGCTGAGAAATTGCCAAGCATTTCTTCGGCACTCCTTATTGAAAAAAATACAGACTGGGAAATATCCAGCTGGTATCCAAAAATCCTGATTCGGCAGTGAGAGCTGCCAGCCCCCGGCTCTGCCTGGGCCGTTTGTTCTCGCAGCTTGAGCTTTTCGCGTTTTACACAGGATACCCAGAATGAAACCCTGGATGCTTGGTCACATAGAAGTAATTTTTCCTGCTAAGGGTGAAATGGTGCTCACCAGCACTCTCTTCTCTGAACTTAAAGATGCAGTTGAAGGGGAGCTTCATAGGACCATGTAATTGAGAAAAGCAGGGAGGGTAAGAAGGGTGAGTAGAAAAAAGGGAATGAATTTAAAATAGAATAATTATATCATGTGTATCTACTCCAAACCCTGGCCAGTCCCTGTTCCGAGACTTCTCCTAATACATGAGTACAACTCTTAGGCAAAGCTGATCTTGTTGATAGGTTATATAACACAGTGGGACTTTGGTCAGAATGTTTGTGTCCTCCCCAAATTCATATGTTGAAATCCTAACTCCCAAGGTGATGGTATCTGATGGTATCAAGAGATGAGTGAGGCCCTCATAAATGAAATTAGTGCCCTTATTAAAGAAGCCCCAGAGAGCTGCCTTGCTCCTTCCACCCCGTGAGGACAGAGCAAGAAGGTGCTGTCTATGAGTCAGGGCATGAGCCCTCCCCAGGCACCAAATCTACTGGCACCTTGATCTCAAACTTCCCAGACTCCAGAATTGCGAGAAATAAATCTCTGTTTTTTTTTTGGTTTGTTTGTTTGTTTGTTTTGAGTCTTGCTCTGTCACCCAGGCTGGAGTATAGTGGCGCAATCTCGGCTCACTGCAACCTCCACCTCCCAGGTTCTAGCAATTCTCTGCCTCAGCCTCCCGAGTAGCTGGGATTACAGGCGCCCCCCACCATGCCAGGCTAATTTTTGTATTTTTAGTAGACACAGGGTTTCACCACCTTGGCCAGGATGGTCTTGAACTTCTAACGTCGTGATCCACCCGCCTCGGCCTCCCAAAGTGCTGGAATTACAGGTGTGAGCCACCGTGCCCACCCAAATATCTGTTCTTTATAAGCTACTCAGTTTATAATTAGCCCGAAAGGACTGAGACAAGTGGGAATCTGGGACAATACAATTTTATTCCAAGAATTGTCAGTGGCCTACAGAGGACGACGACAGGAAAGGAAGACCAGTGGCAGGGTGACACCCCTAGAATAGCTGTCACTTTAAAGAGACACCCGTTTGTTTTTCCTTTCATGCTTCCAGTTAAAGAAAAACTGGGGGATTCCCAAATAAGAAATATTAATACATGAGCTTCCACAAGCCCAGTGGTTATAGCAAAGTGAAGAAATGTTCCAATATGCTTCAAGATGTACAAGCTTGGGATGAAAGGCATCCCAGCGGCAAACAAAGCAGGTCTACCCATTCTGTGATAAATGAACAGATCTTATCACAAGAAGGCCCTTGAATAGATGCAAAGTTCATGTGCTGTGAAACCACAGCTGGCTCAAATACACAGCAAGAGATACAAAAGCCATGAGGGTCCATAGTAAATGGGCTCATGTTAATTAGATTGAATTTAAAAGAAAACCAATCTATTAAATACCGACTTGGCCCTCCCCTCTGTTAGGCTTCTCTTAATACTGTCTCTCCCCCAGTTGCAAATGGCTTGTAAAGACACTGCCAGCTACTGTGTGAAGGAAGCCAATGCATAATGAGAGTGAGAAATGAGAAAAATTAATATGGCTCCATCATCCCTCACTACATCCTTATTGTACCTTCTAGTTCTAGTATCCTCCACAATCTGATCTTTTTCCTGATTCCTCTGCCCCCATCAATGCCCAGCTCAACCATTTTATTTTGCCAAGCTCTTATTAAATAAGGATGCTTTACATGACCATTTTACCTGGCACCCAAAGGAGGCTAATGAAGCCAAAGGAGGCTAATGAAGCCAAACAGAAGTCAAGAAACAGAATAATAGCTTGGGCCAATGTTTTCTGGTATAATGAGTAGTCCAGTTAATATTCATTTAGTTGACACATCAATATGGTATACAGTGATCAGGAATGGGACAGCTTTTTTTCAGTAAAACTCTAGGCTAGCTATAAGTTGCAAATGGTGACAGGCTTTGCAAATTATGGCCATAGCCACAAATCAAAGGGCAATCTTCATGTGTGCATAGAGTGGAAAGGACTGGTGGCCACACATTCATCTTTGCAGGCACCCAGCATGTGCTATGATTACCACAAGTCATCAAGGATGAAGGACAGAGATATAATTCTGTTTGCAACTCACTATGCTTCCCCACTTACATTTTTATCTCCTAATGTCATTACAAAATGTTGACATGCATGGGTCCTTGGAGCAGTCTCCTCCTAGTGAAGAATCCCAGTCGAATTTATTACCCGAACGTACTCCTTCAATTCACCTCAAGAACATCTTTAACATATTCCTCTATAAAGGGCCACCCTCACAGAGATGAATAAGCAGCACAGGGAAGGTAGAATTGTACACTAGACCCTAACAGTCTAGCACCATAATGTGGGGCCCCCATCACTTTGATGTTTGTGGTGTTTATTTGCTAATAAGAAGAAACAAAAAGAGGTGCTTTTTCATCTTATTATCTGCCTCAGAAAATAATTGTCTAAAAAATTAGCAGTACGTAGGATTCCCCTTCTGCATCATCCAGATCCCTTATCGATCCACTTCAGAAATAAAGGATTAAGTGCACCAGTGGCTGGTAGTGCCCCTGGCAATAGGCTTCCACTCAACACCTTTGGGGACTGTCTCAGCTGAAAAAGCCCACTTCCCCAAAGCCGTATCCCTTTCCTGGCGTAAATGGCACTGAAAAACTGGCTGTCACAGGTATAAAGACCTAGTCTTCTTGCCCTAACTCTGGACAACTCCAAAGGGTCAGTTTATCTTCAGAATTCCTCCACAGGATTTCTGGAGCTTCCATTAAAACTGCATCACACCTATACTTCTCCTGTCCAGCCTTGTCCAATCTTCCCTTCCCGCTCATGGTGTTGATCTCAAAAGCACCCCCTAATAAAACCCCCTGCACACTAACCTCAGGCTCAGAGTCTGCTTCCCTGGGAACCTGACTCTACCCATTTCCCCCTATTCAACACCGAAAAGAAATTGCTTTAAAGAGAACATATCTATTTTCAAATACTGAAATGACTTATTTGGTAGAAAGACAAATCTTTGCTCATTAAATTCAGAGGAGAAGAGAACTGGGAACAAAGAGTAGAAGTATTAAAAGGCATTATTGGGCTCAATATAAGAAATGCATTTGCAAAAATTATAGGTTCTTAAAATGGAGGGTCTCATAAGGTAGTGAGCTCTCGGTCACTGTTAGCATTCAAAGAAGAGCTGGATTATTATCTAACAGAGGGTTGTTCCCCAGTACATGGGCTGGAAAATTTTATGATTATCCTTAAGACCCAGTTCAAATGTCAGGTCTTTTATGTATGTCATCTTTTCTAACTTGCCCTAGTCAACTCAGTTCTATCTCCCCTTTGCTTTTATCACATTTTGTACATGCCTCAGTCATCATACTTACACAGTAAACATGCCTACTTGCCTCATCCGACTAAAAATGTTTCTCAAGACTACAAACTATACCTTGTTCATCTCTAGATC